AAATCGTTCGATCGATCCTTCGAAAAGGTTTATTAACTTTTGTTTTTATTCCCCCGGTGAACATTTAAAAAGAAAAAATAATACTTTTCCTTCTATATTGAGGTCCGTGTTTATAATGATTATTATCATCCTTTCTGATGCAGGTGAGCATCCTGAGAGCGAGTAAACATTATTTCCACTCTGAAAAGAAAATATCAGTGAAGCCAGGGTAGACAGAAGCTTATGCCATGGCCCCTGCGGTGTATGTGATTTTTCACAGGGCCAAGTTGTCGTCGGGGAGTAATCAGTTTCAATTAAGAGGTTCTCTAAAAGTCTAGTAGCAAAGAAAAAAAAAAGCCACGCGATTCTTTTTCATTTTTATCATCCCAAACGAGCCTGCGGTCTTTTGTCTGAGGAATAGTAATCATAATGGTAATCGTGGGAGTTGAAATTCCGTAAGCATTTGATAACTTCCAAGATTCCTTCAACTTTATACCCTGAAAGGACGTTAAATATATCAAAATTGGGGGTAGCAGGATAGATCTTGACTGCTCTGAAATTCAAGCCACGAATTGCACTTTCCCCGGAAGTCAATGCTACGTCGTTGGGGGATATGAAAAGGGAGCAAGCTCTCGTCTCCCTTTGAATAGATTTTTAATAGTGAAAGCACTTATGGAAGTGGATCGATGTGAAAGCATTAGGAATTCTTTAGGACAATTTAATCGCGATGGTTCACTCCACATTTTAATAATTATGTCTCTCTCGTGCTTGGGGCTTATCGTTATCCCAAGGTTCGTTGATTCTCGATTTTCCGGTTGGACCCATGCCGTACGTCATAATTCGACCAGGGCTTTGATACTTAACGCTCTCTCGGCCATTTCGTTGCTTCATACTCTCGTATCCAAGATTTATGATCCTCTATCGAATTGCCAGGTTCAGCTCTCAGTTCCACTGTGGTTTGACGTTTCACGAAACCATCCCCTTCCTCCTCTTCCTCCTCTTCCTCCCCTTCCTCCTCTTCCTCCCCATCCTCCCCTTCCTCCCCATCCTCCCCATCCTCCCCATCCTCCCCTTCCTCCCCATCCTTCCCCTCCTCCCCTTGCACAAACTCTTCTAGATAACGATCCAATTAATCTCGAGCTTTCGATCCAATACGAATTTTCATGCGTTGTAATAATTATTTACGTGAACGGAAATGAAATCATTCTCACGAAAAGTCACCAATCGAGTCCCTGAATACATACTCGAAGGTACTTGATTGTTATTATATCTTGTAATGGCTTTTCTGAGTGCTACACCTCGCTCTAGCTACCCTAAAGTCGAATCTTAATTCTCGATCCATAATATACATATTATTGTAACTATTCACAACAATCTGGTGCAACTGAGGATGAGCCATTGCTCTGGTTCTCTCGCTTATTGCACTTCAGTGTCCTTCTGACTGTATTATATTCTCCTTAGATTGCATGGAACATACCTTGGCTGGTGCTGAATTTCCTGGTGAGGAGTCGAGCCATTATTCCTAATGCTCCATCCAGGCTTACTCCACTGACATGTTTATTGTTTGTGTATGTAATTTTTGATATATACCCGGCAGGACTGGAGGTATTCGCCAACGTCAACGAGTACATCATTTTGTTGGAGATAAAAAATGAATAAAGGGGCTTTGTTGCGAAATTTCTACGCCAATTGCACCTCAAAAGAACTGAAATCCTTATCCTGTATTCAGAGCCTCTGATCAATCCAGGATTATCTCCAATATGAAGGCTCAATTTCCCATGTGATTATTTCGGATCACCAACTATTGCATAAAGTCGTTAGAATTTTCTCGTAAATGGTTGATGATTTTATGTCAGTCTTCACATATTCGAGTAGAACAGCCCATTTGTGTTATTGGTGGAATTCTGGGATGAGATTAAATTTGATTTATCCTCATTGCCGCAAGCTCAAAGGGTTTATTCGCGAAATGCCAAATATTCCATTAAATATTTATGTAGAGGGCAGGGAAGTTGATATTACAAAAACGAAGCGAGCGTTAAATTGGGTCAACTCTGACGGAGCAACTGCCTCACACCCCTTTCTCTGGAGGTAGTTCACTTTACTTCTCGATTCCCGAAACCCCCGGAGCATGATTCACAGTCTGTGACCCATCTTCCCCTCAGGTTTCTACCCCCAACCCCCTGTGACCCTACTTCACTGCCGATCGGTCATTCTCCATGCAGCTACATTGCAGCTCCAACATTTCATGCCATTCACGTCTTTTTTTTTCAACCCCCTTTCTATTTTTATCGTTTCCTTCTTCTATCAGCAATTTTTATTCGTTTCATTCAAATAGCTCCTCCATTTTTATTTATCGTCGTTTGAATTTCATTCGTGATGAAGGAAATAATCAACGAATTGATTGGAAAGTTTATTTGGGTGTTTATGATCGGAAGGAGAGTGACAATCCTCTTTAACCACTGACATTCCCTGTCGATACAATTCATCTCAACGTGGGGGATCTCTCACGACACTTCCATTATCTTTCATGTGACAACATAAAATATTTAACGTTATTTAATCACAATATTTCCATCAAATTCTCGACTTCAGCCATAAAATTTAAGCACAACCAACACATGAATAAAAATATCAAGCTAATATTTACTGTGAAAAAGAGTCACCGGAAAAGAGGTGAAAACGCGTTAAACGGAAATGAGATATCCTTCAGGAAGCATTTCCTAAACATACACCATACATGGATATATGCATGTGTATGTATATATTGAGCGTGTGACCCCGAGTGTGACGCGATGCTATCAGAGTTTTATGAAACTCACTTTTTTAAATTCTATCGGATAGTATTGATTCGGATGACATACGCATTTGGCATCGGTTGATATAAAAAATTCACCAACTTGTCCATTGTCGAGGAATGAAAATTAAAGTTTATTTATTTAGAAACTCTGGAGTGAAAAAAAAAGAAAGAGAATTTACTGCACTCCTAGAGGTAGCAACTCCACAGTATTTCCACCTGTATCATATATCTGTAGCTCTTGAATTCACCATTTCGACCATCGCCTATTTTCTCGTTTTCCTCTCAGTCATATACAAACGTAGATCAGCACCAGGAGGGAAAGAGAGAGACTCGAGTGTACATCAGGCACTCGTACTTGAATGAGCACTGTAAACAACAGAGAGCACCAGAGAAGTTTATTGAATTATGAGATGATTCTTGGAAATTTTATTACAAGAGCTGACAGTGTAGCTTAAAAAAAATTCAAGGGGGGGAACATACTGAATTGAGTGATTCGATGAATGACTGGGAATGAATTCATTCACGTTTAAAGTGGAAGGAAAAATATTCCAGTTGATAATAAATTGAAATGGATACTAATATTGATCTTTCGGGGAAGTTTTTTTTTTTATTTTTTTCGTTTAAAGTTCCACATCATTTCCGCACGTATTTTTATTCAACTGAATAAACCCCCAACTTTCCGACGAGCTTTCCACAGGCCGTATGTTTTTGTTGTCCCCTTGACAGCTGTCCTATAATGTCTGAATGGCCATGCGCGCTTACCAGGCAACTGAGGATTTATCGAACCCGAGGGAAATGGATTTGTATCATACAGAGGAAACAAATGACCGTGTAAATTGGATAAAAGACGTATCAGTGGATTTTTTCCTCTCGTCAATGGCCATGATAAATTGAACCATTCAATTGATCTTCTCCCAGCGAAAAAAATGAAACCAAAGAAAAAAAGCTCAGTACCAATTGATTTTGGTGGGGACTTGGTCAGGAATAACATGGTCATTATAATTGAAATCTAGGATCCCTCTAACTATCACAACTAGAATGTGGTTGGGTGTACAATCGAGAGAAGAGAGGTTACGTGTTCCACTTTGCTGAGAGGACCTTCGGTATTCCCGCAAGCGGAAGCTGTTCTCTCGAGTGTGAACCCGTCGTAAATGCCATCCCATCCGTACGACCGAGAGGACCATATACAAGCCATTCTAACGCGCACATGTACACACACCTCCCACATTCGAGACAGTATCACACTTTTTTCTTTTTCCCCCCTCCTTCCTCCCATTCCACCCATTCCTCCCCTTCCACCCATTCCTCCCCTTCCACCCCTTCCACCCATTCCTCCCCTTCCACCCATTCCTCCCCTTCCACCCCTTCCACCCCTTCCACCCCTTCCACCCCTTTTTTTCCCTTTATATATCCCGCCTACATGTATTCCATATCACCATCACTCGAGAAGTTTGTTCCATTTTACACTCAGCTTCTATTGTTGCGCCCTTTCCGAAAACATTTTTCCACTGGTTCGTCTCGCCTTAAATTCCAAAATCAAGCTTCCGAGTTTGCAGTGGCCTCGCGTTATTTCGCGGATCGCCAGAGCCTCGTAAATTCTTTACTTCACCCCCTGCCCCACACGGTGGATATTTATGGCACCTATTTATGGTACCAAACTCCTTCGACTCCAACTTTCAACCTTTCGTTACTCCTCTCTCTTTTTCTCGTTTCATAAAAAATAAAAATAAACTTTATGCTTGAAAAATGATAATTTATTATTATGCATAATTGTCTGTTTCACTTAATCGGCTTTTTAGAGCAGAGTCTCTCATCATGTGAGGGCTCTCATAATTTAAGCTGATGGAAGCATCCACCCTCGGTAAATAAATGAATAGTTATTACCGCGGGGAGTCTATTTTTATTTCTCGTGTTTTGTCGTGATGGAACAGCTCAAAGTGAACACCGCTCACGTGTTGAAGTTTTATCATGTCAGTTATGACGAGCTCAGTAAGGCTTCTCAAGCCCCTATCGGTGGTACACCTCTTTTGCTGTAGGCGATGACCCGCGAATAAACTTGTCGCTCCTCAGCAACAACTCCAGGAATATCGACCTCCCCCCACGTTCACCAACCCACCGCAACAGCACAATTCTCATGTTAATTCATTAGTATTTCCAATTATATAATTCAACGTGTTGAATTCGTAGTTACTGATCATTTATTATTTTTTATTGATTTTTATAGCTCGCAAACTCAACGAATACATACGACATTACGAACCTCTTTCGTATTCAACTGACGAACTTCATCGGCATCACTTGAGGGCCAAGAGATCAGTAGCACGTGACAATGCAGTTAATTTAAAATTTCGCGCACACGGAAAGGACTTCCACATACGACTCAAAAGAGACTTGAGTACATTCAGTAATAATCTGGTAATTGAGGGTCCATCTGGAGAGGTTGAGGATCTAGATACATCACATATTTACGAGGGTCACTTACTCGGTAAGTTTTTTAATTCTTCATTAGACCAGTTGAAGTGATTTTCAGTGTAAATACTGGATAATTTTTCGTGAAGCTTTTGTTAATGAAAATTCAATTCCAGGTGAGCCAAATAGTCAAGTGTTTGGTAGTATAAGTGACGGTGTGTTCCACGGTCAGATAATATCACCACGCCATGGTGCATGGTTTGTCGAGAGGGCCCATTACTATTTCCCTCCACAAGCTGTTAACGAGTCCCACCACTCTGTCATATACCATGAGAATGACATCGGCGATCCTTTTGCAGACAAACGAGAGGGTATGTATGAATAATAATGTAATAAAGTAATCGATAGTTTAATCACGAGGATTTTAGATCAAACAAATGGAGAATGGTGTGACGTTTAAATTGTAAGAGCGGATATTTGCGTACTAGCCACCATTCGGTGGAATGACCCGTATATATGTGACAATGGGCTTTCGTCTTCCGGTTGGGTTGAGTTTTCCGACCCTTTGTCTCTCCAGCAGTAAGCGCCTTCAGCCCCCGGCTTATACGTGGGGATATGCTACTACATATAGTCTCCGCCGTTATTTTCTGCAACGTTTACCCTAAACTCTTGGAGGTGCATTCAACCGAAATGCGCAAAAAAACTGTCGTAAAAAAAAGAAAGCAACTCGATAGATTTATTGATTGTTTATCAATATCGTTGTCACACGTGAAATGATCAATGATCTCTCGTTGAATGAGTGACTGAGAATGGAAAAGGCTTCACCAGAGAGGACCACTCGGAAGACCATAGATTTTCCGTCTGAGTTTTCGTCTTTATGGGTAGTTGTGTAAACACCGGTGCTTAAATAAACATAGTCATATCGCGGTACAATATTTATCGTCCCTCCGTGCCCGAGCGGATCTTGCCAATGCTCTGTACATGTACTCGTGTTTGTGTGAGAGTGCGCGGTTTTTCCATCTCACTTTACCACCCCCTTTTCTCTCCTCGTTTCTCCTCTTTACCCCTGCGCGTTATGAATCTACAACATTAACGAGACGCTTTCCACCGGGCGCATAAATTTCATGGAGTTTCACTCCCGCTATCCAACGTTAGAAGCGCCCAGGATTTCTCGTCTACTTTTTTTTACCATGAAAATATATTTTTTCATCTCCACTCATTTTATTACGGGAAGAAAAAATGTCTTCATGATTTATTTCATTTATATTTTTTATCGCAATTATTTTGTTACGATAGGTCATGGTTTTGTCATTGATAAGTAGGAGTGATTATTATCTTGAAATAATGATGAATCAGGGCTTTGACGAGTCATTGCATTCTCCCTCTCTTCTCCCCCCGAGGGTGGGATGTTTATCAGTAGTATATCCCGTGTTTTGACCAGCCAATGAGAGCTCGTGGAATGATTCCCGGGTTATGCGTCAAAGCGAGGGAATTTTTTCACGATGGGAAATAAATATGTGTCCAAACATCACCGCGTTCCTCATTGAATTTCTCTTTTAATAGCTGAATACCAAATAAAAAGAGAGATCATTGAATTGGTCTGTATCGATTCAACGTTTTAACCATTTTTCGCGTTTTTCCGGAGTAACGAGTAGAAATATTTTCGTTTTTCCATCCAAAAATGAAATGGTAAAAATTCTCTCGATTCGGGGGATCGGGATTTGTGAATTTATCAGATGTGCTGAGAAAGCTATCTCCAACGAGGTTCATTCAAGATCCTCGGAATCTACGTTGGAGGGTAATTCAACACTTTAGTTCCACCACTGGACGCGGACGGGCGGTGAAAACGACGCCCCAGGGAATAGCCATGTCGAGGAGTGGTTTTGCTATTGCTAAAAGTACAATATACACAGGACACACTAACTGGCGATGCAAGCACTTTGTGTACTCCATCATTTGAAATTACATGAATGATTAATCGACTATTCTCGGAAAATAATTCGCAATCACAGGAGCATTGACTGTATGTTTTTACTCAAATTCAATCTCCATAAATTTAAATAGTCCAACTTATCACCCTGCGAGTTGGATTTGAGATAAGAGTGTAGCACGTAGCTGTGGTATCGGTGCACCCTGTATACATGAAATCGCGTATGAATCTTGAGAGAAGACGTGCCTCTCTGAGAGACGGTCACACACTTAACCGCCTTCTGCCTCTATCTTGTCCTAGAATTCACCAGAGCGTTATCAGGGTTGAATATATAGAAGCTAACTACCGCATAACGATCACCTTACAGACACCCTTTTCACTATCTCGTCAAATTTCTTAATGAGGTGAATGGGAAAGCATTTGGAGGAATACAATTCGCTCAATTCAATGAACACCGGTGGGTATTAATTATTGGCATCTCCAGGTGGTGCCAGTGGTTGCGGTATCACGGAGAAGGTGGCAGAATGGATGGACAGGGTTCAGAATTCGGGTGAACCTGACGCTCCACCTCCGGTATCAGCTAGGGATTCAACATCAGATGATTTGATAAGGGAGAGGGAGAGGGAGAGGGGTAAGGAGTCACGGTGGGGTGGCCAACCAGAAACACCAGGCCACAAGTACACAAGAGAGGCGAATAGTGAAACTGGTGAACAGCAACATAGAAGAAGTCGAAGGGCAACAAGTCCCCAGGAGGACAACCGTAACACCTGTGCCCTCTCTATTCGTACCGATCCCTTTATCTGGCGACATATCTCCGATCATGTGAGTATTTTTCACCTCAATGTATGGATTTATTCGGCTCTCTGCTTCTGCTGACAAGATTAAAGCCAGCAAATCTCCCTTGAAATATTTAAAGATGAAAAACGATGGTGGAAAAAAAAAAGAAAAATGCAAGAGAAGGCGGAGAAAAAAAGAATTGACAAAAAGAGAAGGAGAAATAATTATTCACAGGCTAGTGGCTTTAGTACTCTGTGCGCTATCACGAGGCTTTGCATAGTCCGCAAATACTTTGAATGTTATGCTTCCCCACAATTTGCTCCCTCTCTACATGCACTAGAACACACCCCTTTTAATCGCAGTGTGCTATGCAAGTCAGAGGCACCAGTCGACTCGCCATCTCTCTATCCAAAATCAATAAACCTACATATAAATTCAACCAGAGCTCTTCAGACTTTCATTCGTCTCTCTACCATCTCTTTCAGTAATATTTCCGATCCTCTTACAATTGAGCATTGATCTCCCCCAGGACTATTCCCATCAATTTATTTATGTATATTTCATTAATCCCTGTTGATATTTTGATCTCCAGCTCCAACGAGATCCGGAGAAAACCAGAGAGGAAATTCTATCCTTGATAGCACATCATGTTACAGCAGTGAATTATATATACAGGGATACTCGTTTCGATGGAAAAATACCCCATCGAAATATCAAATTTGAAGTTCAGAGGATAAAAATAGATAATGACACTGCCTGCTCTCATCCATCTGATCCAAACGCCAATGTATTCTGTCGGGATAACATAGACGTGTCGAATTTTCTCAATCAACACTCATTGGGGAACCATGAGGACTTTTGTTTGGCTTACGTGTTTACGTACAGAGACTTTACTGGAGGCACCCTGGGACTCGCCTGGGTTGCATCAGCTTCCGGTGCATCTGGTGGCATATGCGAAAAATACAAAACCTACACTGAAACGGTTGAGGGCATGTATCAGTCGACAAAGAGGTCCTTGAACACTGGAATCATTACGTTTGTAAATTACAATACCAGAGTGCCACCCAAAGTTTCACAACTGACGCTTGCCCATGAGATTGGCCATAACTTTGGCTCACCACACGATTTTCCTCCCGAATGTCGACCTGGTGGACTTCATGGAAATTATATAATGTTTGCATCTGCCACCAGCGGCGATCGGCCGAATAATAGTAAATTTTCAAAGTGCAGTATCAGTAATATCAGTAATGTTCTTGATGCTATGATGGATAACAAGAAGCGTAATTGCTTTGGCACGTCTGAGGGTGCATTCTGTGGAAATAAAATAGTTGAGGCCGGTGAGGAGTGTGATTGTGGATATGATTATGTCGAGTGTGTAGATAAGTGTTGCTATCCGAGGCAGACTGATCCCGACAGATCAATGAACCACAATGATACAGCCAAGAGATGCCAGAGACGGGCTGGTGCGCGATGCAGTCCTAGCCAGGGACCCTGCTGCTCCAGTGAAACATGTCAGTTTGTTCCAGCATCTGCCAAAGTCCAGTGCAAAGCTGAATCTGATTGCAGTTATGATTCAATGTGTAATGGAAGCTCTGCCGAGTGTCCACCATCCTTGCCAAGGGCTAACAAGACCAGGTGCAATGAGGGAACACAGGTATTCTATTTTCAACTTTACTCTCAAACAATTTTATCATTTCTACTTTTTGCATTCCACTTTTCACTTTTCACTTATAAACAAAGCCAATATTCTTACTCACTTTTCTTTTAAAAATTCGGGGAAACTATTTGCAGTCAATGACTCGAACCACCACAAAGCAAAGAACTTTTACCCAGAGAATGAAATATGGCAATGCCAGTCTCTCGCCGTGAATAGTTTTTGAATTGCAAACTTTATACACCTCCCCAATGTTTCTTCGGGGACTAAAAAAAAATTCCACTCTCCTGGAATTTTTCATTACGTCAATACGTGGACCGCTATGGCAAAAAAAATCTACTGAATTAAAAAATTGTTTGCAATTAATAAATGGAAACGCCGGGGAATACATGATCCCCTCAATTAATTGAAATTGTATCTTCACATGAATACTCCATCGAGAATATTTTTTAAAAACCTGTCGATTTTATTTCAGTTAAATTGAATGAGCTCTAAGTGCTCTCTCCCCATTGCAATTCAATCTCGCGGGGATTATCTTTGTAAATGAAAATTTCAACTTCCAATAGAATTGACTGGATTCCATCATTTATATCGCACTAAATAAATGAACTCCAATCTCTTTTATCCAATGATTATGAGTTAAATCGGTAATTTTTATTGCAGTTATGTATCGATGGTGAGTGCACAGGATCAATATGCCTGGAATGGAACATGACGGAATGTTTTTTGACAAGCAGCATTATTCCGAATATCGACAAGAGAACTTTATGTGAATTAGCGTGTCAAAATGGCACTGACGCGTCAACCTGTCGTAGTACAAGTGAATTTGCACACCTTGTCGGATTGCCAAAGGGAGGAATTAGCTTAAGACCAGGTTCACCATGTGACAATTTCCAAGGTTATTGTGACGTATTTCTCAAGTGCAGAGCTGTTGATGCTGAAGGACCTCTAGCAAAATTGAAAAATTTATTATTCAATAAAGAGACCTTGTTGACAGTGGCACAGTGGGTTACCGTGAGTTATTCAAAATATTCTATCCTATCAATCACTTTTATAGACCAATTTTTCACTGATATTACTCGAATTCTCTTCTAGGAATATTGGTGGGCGGTTTTATTAATGGGTATTGCATTTATTATATTCATGGGTCTATTCATAAAATGTTGTGCCGTTCATACACCCTCGAGCAATCCAAAGAAACCACCGGCGAGACGAATAAGTGATACTTTGAGGAGGCCAATGAATACTCTCCGAAGAATGGTAAGTGGATTGAATTCAAAACGAAGAATTTGTTGAAATAATGGTTAAATTTATTTCAGCGTCATCCCCATGGTGGTCATCCCCCAGGTCCAAGGAGTATTCCTCCACCAGCCCAGGGTCGCAGTCACGGAAGTCGAGGACCCTCGCATGGCTACGGAGAGGGTCGAGGTGCTCAATACTATCCCAAAGGTAAACAAATCTCTTGAGATGATTGTAATCAATACAGAAGGCTTTTTCCATCGAGTGTGCCTTCAAATATCATATAATACCATTGAAATGAGAATAAAAAATAAAATAGAGGATGATACTCGGTGGTAAAAGTATCACTCATCTCATATCATTTGTATTCCCCTTGTTCAATTATACTGTACCTGCTACTATATTAATGTATTTCTCCTGTTTGCATCTATCCCCATCACATTGACGCGCATCACTATTGTTCTATGAGATACAGAGGTGAGCCGGGGCTAAAAAACATCTCCAACTCAAGTAAATACAGGAATATATGAGAATAAATATTGGATAATGAGTAATCCCGTGGATAATGTGCAGCTCAATTCTTGTATTTACTTGCCTACAATACTTAGCAATCATATGGTTATTATTTATTGTGTAAATTCACCTCAGTTATCAGAAGAGTATTTTTCATAAATAATTCAGCATTATCATACTTAGAGATTAGAATTATGATAACGAATAAATTTCTAAACAGGATATCGCTCGGTTCCCACAGCTAGTGCACCCGCAAACAGCTCATCAAGCCACAGTCGGTCCAATCATCCAGAATTGTACGCCGGCGCCTATTCGGGCTCCGGGGGAGGGGGGAGGGGCCCAGCCTACGAGATGAGACACCACAACAACAAGGTGTGATTATCATTACCGCAATCACAACTTTAACACTAAAAATGATAAAATTTAGTCAGTCGTCGAGGTGGAGAGTGATATCTCAATGTTCAGAGAGTCATGGGTCAACGGACAAATGGTTAAATAATTTCACGTGGTTTCTTCCTCTAGTAGAAAATCATGTCGAGGGCCCGCGATAAAGACTTATAGGATGGAATTCTTGGTGTTACAAAGAAAATAGCTACTATTAAGAATGATAAAAAATGGAAAAAAAAAATAACAAAACAGATGAAAAAACAAAAAAATGAAATGAGAATGGAGATTGTCGCTCTTTTTCCTCAAGTCTCTAATGATATGGCCACTAGGTCAAGCTAGCAGCTGGTTAAATCACCGAAAATCTTCGTGTAATCTAGTTGAAATACAGTTTCGATAGAGTAATCCTGGGCATATCTAATAATTGATTATCAAATTGTATTGATTAGATTAAATTTTCTAGGATTAATTGGGTTCGTAGTGACTGGGAGGGATATTTGAATTATGTGGGAGGACTAACGGGACGGCTGAATATTTTTTTCCTTCACCATGACGATATTTTTTCGGCGATGATAATGACGTTGAAACGTTACCAAAACATTGTCACAGGTCATTCAATTGATCTCCATACAATTGTAGTATATAGTAGTTACATTATATGTATTATTCTTATATGATAATTTTTATTAGATAAATTAAACGAGTAATTGATCTAATAAATGGAAATAATGCCTCCTCGAATTATATAATTCCCAGCTGATGAGCAAAATACTAGTGTTCATTCGATTCTATAATTATTCATTAATAGTTAGCAACTGTCATTGATTTTTATCTACATTAGTATCGGTTGAATATTAAAGTTCATAATTTATATGACTTTTTATTAATTCGAATGGGAATATTCTCGTTTTGTTGTTTCTTTTGTAACGACGAGTAAATTATTCCAATGTAAAAAAGAATGATCTATATATACATATAAATAGAGTAGGACGCTTTAAGCGAAGGTCATGGTGGACCAAAGAGTGAAATTGTCGTGAAATTCAATTTGGCTGGAATCGTATGAAAGCATTAGTTTTCCTTCCGATAACCTTTTTATTACCATTTTTCTATTATTAAATTGGCAAATGATGCATATACTTGATAAGGCTGATTACATATTCTCAATTTTAGGTGTTTAGAATTTCTACATTCCAGGCCAAGATTCTACAACAATAATTCATTACAATAATTCTTTTGCTACATTAATTTCCGAGTTGAAATATTTATTACAGCAGGAGAGACGAGCCATTTAGATTCTCACCACAATAATTGACATTAATTAAAAATAAGTATATAGAGCGATGAAGACAGAATTGATTTCAATGACAAGCTAATGTTATTCTGTATTTGTTGTCGTGGTTCTTTAGTTTCAGTCGAAAGGGATAAATTCCAGTGGCCATGCCAAAAATAATTTAATTAACGATCAATATTGCAATGTAACGAACAATTGAGTTGAGGCCCTTGAGATTGTGGGTCGAATGACAATGTACAATAGATACAATGTGATTAAAATGGTGTGGAAAAATAAAAATGAGGACCGTAGAGCTGGCAGAACAGATGGCAAAGTAGAAAGAAGACTCAAAACTTTAAATTAACAAACGAAAATTGAAGAGATAATAGTGTACTGTATGTATGAGTGCGAGCCATAGGTAAAACGCAAGAATCACAAGGGAGAGAGAACAAAAATGTAAATACATTGATATTATATATAAACCGTAACTATAAACGTAAGATAACGATGCGATGAAAATGAACAAAAAAAAATTGATTGTTTTTATATCAGAAAATCTGTATGATAGCGGGATAATTCTGTATTTTGTAATTGGTACTCTGAATGAGACTAAAAATTCCACATTCATGTACCATTTTTCTATGTGCACAAAAGGAGAAAAATGTGGAATGTACAATTTAGTTTTCAAGGGTGACATCTTAATGAATAAAGACTTTCATGAATACGTGAATGTCGATTTTTCAACTTATCAAGTAAATTTAAACTTGATGAGAATTTTATCTAAGCCTACAATGGTGCATCAAGTTGTATAAATGTTTAAACAACTAATGGTAGCATAACGAGAGCTTTATCAAAACAACACTCGGATTCATTCACTGTTTTAGTTCTCTTAATTATCATTATTATTTTGTACCAATTTACAACTGCCATTATCTTCATCGATGATTGTACCAGAGAATTAAAGATTTCAAGGGAGGGATTTAAAGACAGCGAATTATTTGCTGATTGTAATTGCAAGTGAAGGACTCACTGCCAAGCTATTTCGACATTTATCAGCCTTTTAATAATTGTTAAAAATTGACAATTTATTACTGCTTCCAGTTCACTGCCAAAGGACTCGTAACTGTGGCATATCCTCATAGATGAAATCGAGTGATTCATTGATTGAAATGCGCAACAATGTGAATAAAACGAGTTGGATCTGCTTAGAAATTTATTCAATTTTTTTTTTAATTTCATTGTGGAAAAATAAAAATGGGTACAAGCTCTCGTTGATAGTTGAATATTGCTTGCGTGCGTGGAAATGAAACAGAGAATGCGTTGATACGCGTGAATAACGAGTAAAATATTCAGATTAACTTCAATTATTTTCCCCTCTCCCGTGAAAAATTCCCTTCAACAGTCTATCTCTATTAAAAAATCCCCCTTCAGTGCTTAAAGGCTTCGTTTCAATCGTGATACGATGCGTTTAAATCTATCACCTGTACATATAACGTCAAAGGATGAAACAAATGTGGGGAGAAGAGAAATTAACAAATTTTAAATTATATTTTTTCTATCAATCCAAAAAAAAAAAGGAAATACTTAAAAAGATGAATGGATACGAATGGAAAAGTGTAAAAAAAATGTGAGGGATTTATTGATATTTATACGTCCTATTTGAGTCTCCATTAATTTCAATCACCCTGATAATTGAAATAATAAATTAATTTGACTGTTTCTGTATAGGAGTCATTAAGAAATATATAAACTTGAGAACCAGTTGCTTGGATATCATAAAGCACCAAGTGGCCTTTGCTTTCTTTAATACGTTGAATCTTCCCTCTTCAGTTCCCCAAATAAATTAACGTCGAAATAAATTCATTATTTTACCAAGCATGAACGTAGTGACGTCTGAAACTCTTTCTCTTTTGCTCGATTAAATGAACAAAGAAATACACAAAATACTAAGGGCAAGGCGTGTTTTACGAATATTTAATCATTGAAGATGAACAAAAAACCTATGATTGTAAATCTCTTTTGTGCTACGTTAATGTGATTACTGATTAAACACGAAAAAAGGAAAAAAAAAACTGTAAAGAACTAAATAAAGGAAAATACATTTTACATTAGGGCAGGTGTAATTATTATCATCAAATGAAAACTCAACACAATTTGGCACCAATACGCCTTTATTATTATTTTATAAACTATTGTAAAATAGTTTTAATTTACATTAAAAATGCTGACTACATTGTTGATACATCACGATATCGTTGATCTTCTCCTAATTTAATGACATGAGTTCCTATGATTTCAATGAATGAATTAACAATTCGTCGAGTATGTTTATCAAATTAAATGAAAAATTATTGAGAAAAAAAAAAATACTGCAATATAAAATAATATTATGCTATGGTGACTCTATTATTACAATATACGCGTGATTAAATATTGATATTAAAAAGAAAAAAGATGAAAAAAAGTCTACGTGTTCTTGAGAAAACAAAAATAACGCTCTCAATACTCAATTTACCACCGATTAAAGAAGAGGAAGTCTTTGTATAATTGCAAAGAGTTGATTAAGGGACGGTTACCCGAATAAAAATAGTAAATAATTAATAATAAATTACGCTTGTGCATTCTCGAGTTTATAAACGTCATGATAGGCATTACGTATGAGTGCATATGGAAAACAACTTTCCAATAAATCCATCGTCAAAAAGGGTGACTCCTGGACAATTTGGTCTAGCAACAGGTAACTCGATTCACGATTCCTCGTCGCCTCCTTGTCAGTTTCCTGGCCAAGTCTAAGTAAACTCGACGACGCAAGAGCCAAAAATTCCTTCATTCTGTCCTCAATATCGTTTTGCCCGCAAATTGTGAATAATGCTCCAAACATATTATTGATCGCTGTAGCCATGCAATGAATATTATTCGAGTGTCCCTCGAGGGAAGCTCGATAGAATGAATTCTCATTGCGCGCTAACTTTGGAATAGAAACAGCAACGAACACCATGAGCAGACAAACAAGTAGATGCTCGTCCTCGTCGACATCGGCCTTTTGGCTCCTCAAAGCAGCTGTCAAGGTAGGATCAACTTTGCAAGTTAATCCAGCGGCAGAAGTCATCTCAGAAACAACTCGCATGGGATCGCCGGAGGGTAAATGATGTCTGAAATCGAGAATCGAGCTCAAAAGAAATGGAATTCTCTCCTCAAGTACATCAACAAGTGCTGATTGCGACAATTGTCTGAAGCTCAGTATAACTCCGATGATGGTAACCCTCTGGAGTACGTTGTCGACCTGCTGGAGCCTCTTGAACTGCTCTTTCATAACTTCGGGCTTATCAAAATTTGTCCTAAGTGCAACTAAAACCTCCTTATTCCCAGCGACAAGTTTCTTGAGCTCCTGCACTTGACTGGCGATATGCCACATGAGTGTCTCATTGAGCATCTTCATACCATAAGGTCCAATCAATTCAGCGAGAGCTCGGAGCTCATTTATATCGGAAAATTCCTCAGCATTGAATGGAATAGCCCCCTCAACCGAGAGACTAACAAAAGCTCGTTGATTTGGTGAATAGCATATATTACCAGCGCTTACTCTCCTCAGCAAAACTTCAGAATACCACTGGGTATAGAGAGCAGCAATTGTCTTATCTCCATGACTGTCCAACGCTTGAGTTTGCTGGAGCAATGCGTTATTGAACACTCGTGTTATATCGATGTGCACATAATTCTCAACCGTCTGGAGGACATTCATATATGCCCTCACACTTACAAACAACTCGGACGGCTTGGCTATTTCATTTGCCTCCGGATTAAACATTACCATCCCCACCAAGGCCCTGGCAAATCTCGTCTCCAAGTGCTGATTGAGATATTCACGAGGTGCAAACGTATACTCCCACACATTGATAGTGGGACAGTAATTAATAGCATAGCAGAGCTCAGTCAAGGCCATGTGAAGTTTATCCATTGTTGTGAGCTCTTCGCGTGTCTTTCTATAGCTCTCAATACCAGGTTTGTGTATTTCATAAATATTCTTCTTATTCTTGTCCTTCTTCTTACGATTAACAACCTGTGAGATTAATTGAGCACAGTGTTTGGCAAGTAACTTGTCGCTCATATTGCACTGTTCGTCGCAAATTGTCGTAATAATATTTTTCGCCTCCTTAGCCATTTCATCGAGAAACATGTTAACAACGGAGAGACTCCGCTCGCGTATGTGATGCCGTTCTTCTGGACAAAGTTCGTGTGTGCAGCTCTGGAAGTGACTGCATATCAGTGGAAAAGCCACGATGTAGCGATTCTGGGCTGGAAATTCCAGACACATGTGAAATTGATCCTCAAATATTTTACTATAAAAACAGAAGATCGAGAGGTCTGATGTTTCAACAAGCATTTCATCAAGATTATCCACCATTTTTGTGTGAAAAACTACAGTATCCATGAAGCAGGCGAGCTCACGATTATCCATGAGATTCATATTGCATTTCGAGATGGACATGTAGGCTTGAAGTCTCACCCAATCTAGTCTCAATGGTCTGAAATCGAATAATTCATTCTCCTCGACCTGCTTAACTGTAACACTGGCTATTGTCGAACAGAGATCACTGAGAATGGCGCCCTCGTCCTCAGGACAGACCGGCAGATTCTGAATCATCTGGTGGAGGGCTGGAGCATCGAAACCAGAGAGAAATTGGACATAGTACCGTTGGAGTACTTGAGAGTATTTTCTAACGAGGGCTCGCAATTCCTCGCAATGGAACAGCAATTCTGGAAGTTGACGATCAACCAGATCTTCGCTCCCTCGTCCTTTACTCTTGCCTTGGGTTGGTGGATTATCTCCGTGTCTGAGAAGCCAGAGAACTTCGTCTCGAGAGTGGGACAAACCCATGAATACCAGGAGGGCCTTTGGCCCGAGCAGCCCCGGCTGATCCGTCAGGATGAGTCCCAATTCTTTTAACGCTGTTCTCAGGAATTTTCGTCGTTCTCTGTGTCTGTACCCAGCCTTCTGTATCGCTTGAGTATAACATTCTTTCACTTCGGATACTCTCTTGCCGTATCCTTTTATCCCCTCGAAAAATGATTGGATATACTGATGAATATAAATCACTTCATCTCGAAATAAAGCTAGTACCCAGCCAGACTCCAACGCTGTTGTCCAGAGTTTATTCGGCTGTTCTTGCGCTAGGAACGAGTGACAAAGAGCAAATCCTAAAATCACCCATCTCTCAATTCTATCTAAACTCAGGGTTTCACAGGACATAGTGTCTGTTGCTGCTGCCTTGAGTATCTGTCCAGGACTGCCAACCAGACTCAATTTCTGGTCTGCACGCCACGTATCCGCTGAGAGATTTCTCCCTGGATAAACATTCCATAGAGATGTCAGTGCATTTCTCAATAATTTGGAATGTGGAACGAATTCCTCCGAGAGTTTTTTCAGTGGCAAATCATAATCCATGATCATTTGACCGAGTCGAGGGAAACTGTGGTCCGACTGGCTGTGCACCAACTCATGGGCAGCATTAAAAAGCCCTAGCACAGCTTTCCTATCCTCAACTTTTGACAAAAGTATCATGAGGCTCACGTATGTGATCACGAGGTCCAGATACGCTTTTGTCAGATCAAAATTTATTGTTATATCCATGTGCACACCACATGCATCCATTGTCGTTAATAATTCACACACATTGTCCTTGAAATCCAGGAGATCGACGAATGTGTAATAATACAGCGATAGGGATTTGATAATCTCATTTCTCAGATTTGTTATCGTCTGGAGTCCTTTTACATCGATATTTGGAAATTTTCGAACAATTGTTTTTATTGATGACTCGAGTGTTTTATCGGATAAAAATGCTGGCTTTGATTTAGCATCACCACAGGCTTTTTTAATGTTATAGATACGGGTGAGCATTCCAATTCCACGATCATTGAGAATTATCAGCTTTTCAGCCAACTTTTGTTGACTCGGAAGTATCGGACGTGCCATACTCGTCACTTGATTATTACTCACAATATTTTCCAAGGATTTGACTCTCTCATTCACATCCCTCTCATATTCTCTTTAATAGGCTTCTTCATTGGGGTTAAGCGATACGAGACCCCACCCTGGGTTACGAATGCGCCGGATGCGATTTGATTGTCGTGGACGCTCCAATGTCTCTGAAAATCGAGAATAATATTCAATTAACTCCCCAAAATTCCACCAGCCATAACTCAACTCACATTTTTTTCATTGCATACTGGTGATCGTCGAGATTGTTGCGATCGTGAATATTACATGGAAAAATTACAAGTGACAGGTTCACCCGTGTACACACAGGCCACACACGTATACCATATGAATAAGAAATTATTTTCAATGGGTCATGGACTTGAAGCAGATGGGAAAAGGACAGGAATGCTACCTGGGTGATAGAGATCAATGCAGCAAGAGGGTAGCACAAGGCTGTACCCTCCTCCCTGTGTTTTCTGGATTTTTTGGGAAAATCTGCATAATTATTATAAATTATCATAAATTATTATCATCCGTACAATTCAAGATTCAATAATGAACCTGAAAAATATTTTTTTGTGCAATTTGGGGGAAATTCTGGTGAATTATAAGCAGTGTTGCAAACCCTCCACCAGAACGAGAGCGCACTTCACTGCGCATGCATCCAAAATGGACGCCGACCAGAGAAAAGCTCTGATTCTAAAGCTCCGGAATCAATCCTCTCAGAAGTATTCCCTCAGTGTTTTTTTCATTACCGTAACGACCTTGAGAGTATGAACATAATTAAAAGGACACAATACTAAAGTGTCAAAAATGATTCCTATGAAAAAAATGGTTGGTTATGAAAAATTGATTGGAAAAATTGTCGCCACGAAATAAATGCATGGCAGTTGACAACAATATAATATTCAGAATCATCGCCTTTTTCATTTGTCAACTGGCTAATGTTATTGTCGTTATCCAAGCCAGGATTTCGTCGAATTAATAATTTTTTTAACTGTCTCTGAACTTTTGACGTTTTGAACTCGCTTTGAATTTTTATATTTTTATATTTTTTATATCTCATTTGTTGTTGAAAGGAGAACCGAAGAAATTTTCGAATCGAAAATCGAAGCTGAAGTAACTTCACCCCCTCCCCCTTTATGTAATTGATTATTGATAGCGAATTTTTAATTGATTTTATTCGAATATTGGTATTTCAATTATTTGTCTCGCGGTGTACATTCTTTTAAAGAACAGGATTTATTATTAATAATTATGATGTTTTTTAAAGAAAAATGAGAGCGGATGGGCCGACCTGGGCCTCAACTTTTCACTGGCAAGAACAACGTCATCGTCAGCAAAAGCTGAAAAAACCGTAGAGAATAAAATAGAGACTGATGATGATAATTTCGAACTCTTCGATGCTAAATCGAGGAAAACGAAAGATTTATCCGGAATATTAGAGGCTTGCAGACCGACAAAAGCTGCAGAATTATCAGTAAGTAAGCAGAAGCAGAATGAGATCGTAGAGTGGTTAACTTCTGAAGCAACAACAGGAAGGTCGAGGATTTTGCTGCTCTCCGGGACTTCTGGCAGTGGAAAAACTATCGCTCTTAAAGTATTGGCTGAGGAACACGATTTTAACGTGATTGAGTGGATCTCTCCAATAGACTCTGCGTATTCTAACGATATTAAATATTTGAATCAAAATGATAAATTTGTGGAGTTCCTTGTAAGAGTCACGAGGTATAACTCAGTGTTTGGCAGATCTAGAAAACGTCTGCTACTCGTTAAAGATATTCCCAACATCTATTTTATGGATACCAATGGTTTTCACGAGGTGCTGAGGTATTTTAATCAGAATAAAACTATTTTTTAATTACTTTCAGTGATGAAAGAAGAAAAAGCAGTAGTAGTAATTGTTCTACTCTATGCACAATCCTTTCTTCGTTCAAATGAAGTTTTCAATTGAATAAAAAATACTCGATGATAATAGGAAAATATTTTTTTTACAGACAGTATATGAAATTGGGAAGGCAGCCACTTGTTTTTGTCTGCGCTGACTCCGAAAGCAGTAGAATGATGTATTCGCTATTTCCACCAGAGATTGTTGAGGAATTGGAAATCGATAGGATTAATATTCCTTCTACTACTCCCACTGCCATGAAAAATATGTTGAAACGTATTTCGAAAATTTTGAATGCAAAGTTTGGGGATCTCATTGATGTGACGCAGAGTGTTATCGATGAAGTTCTCTCTAACAGCATCGGAGACGTTCGGAGTACAATTTTGAATACCATTTTTGCTTCTCTAAAAGGTAAATTACAAATATTAATAATATATTAATAATTAATATAAATAAAGCGTATTCTAAAATAAATTAAATTGCAAATGAAATACAAAAATTAAATTCTTCAATAAAAATATCGCATGTTCACCAATTATATTAATTATTCTGAAAGAAATTGGGGTCGTCCTGAATTTGAATTTTTCCAGTTTCAAATGATGGCTCAAAAAATGATTGCGGAAGTCGAGAAGAAAGTTTGGGACTTCTCCATGGCATTGGGCGCGTCATCAATCCTAAGAGAATAGTTGATGGAAATAAATGGAAATTTACTCATGATCCTGATGATATTGCCGCATACTTCAGATCACAGTCGAGGATTTTTTTCAATTTTCTGCAGGAAAATTATTTGAATACAATGGAGAAGATCGAGCAGGTGGAGAGATGTGCCGAAATCTTGAGTCTCGCTGATACAATCAGTATTGAATATCGAGTAAATTTTTATTTATCATTTGGTTGGGTATTAAATTATCATAATAATGAGGGATTTTACAAGGGAATACTTTGCCTGTAATTATTGATGATGAAAATTTCACATCGTGTGTTTTTGAGAAACCCGTGAAATTTTAGAAACGATTCAAATTTCTTCGTCAATCTTTCCAGGATCATTTATTTTCCATAGATTTTCATCAAAGCTTATAATTTCAGGAAGCCAATTTGATAAACGTCAATCTGTCAATGTGCATTAGAGGAGTTATGGTAAACAATGAGAAGCCGTTGACCAAATGGAATCCAGTGAGAAAACCAAAAAGAGGGGATGCAGAAATGTAAGAGTTTTCTTCAGATTCTGAGTAGGACAAAAATAATAATAAGTCCGTGAAACTCGAGTTTATGAATTGATTATTTTTCAGGCAAAGAGATACGGGAATTGCGGAAGAACAATTTTATACAAAAATAATTAACCCAGGGAAATATCCGTGTGATCTTAATGTAGATTACAACGTTAAGGAGTGATAACTCCAGTGAAATATATAAATAATGATGATTAATTATCAAACAAATGTAAAAATTCTTGAATTATACACTTTTATATTCTTTTGTAAATATGACATCTTTCTTACATGTTCCAACCACGGCGAAAACAGGAAGTACCGAGTGAAATTGTTGAAACAATGAAAAATCCAAGTAAGATCAAAATGATTGAGACTGATTAATTATATATTGATCATTGAAAAAAATAAGTTTTACAAAGAATTGCCAGATATCATTTCTGAAAATGAAAATGCTTATCTCAAAATTGCTTATTGTTCACATAATTTCAATAAATTTTCTCATACGTTAAATATCCTTCCTTATACTTCATAAAACAAACCACGATTACTAAAAAACCAAAACGAATTTCGCAGTAATTAATAGTTTTCTTTAATTCATCGTCATGGGATTTTAAATTGAACGAGGGAAAATTTTGGATCATTCTATTTCCATATATTCCAATACTTCAATACAATAATCCAAATGAAACATCTATGTCGATAAATGTTTAATTAAATCATTCGTATTCTTTATAAATGTTTTTTTTTTTCAATCACACTAGTAAATGTATTTAAAATGTTACATCAACATTACGTTTTAGTTTTTCATCAAGTCTTCAGCTCTTGACTTTCACATCAACATAGTTCATGTTATCCTTCAATTAATTAATCTTTGAAGACATTACGAATTCCGGTAACGTCTGTAACTTCGCGACGGTCTAAATTGATGATTCATCGACTCAGCGCTCAGCGAATCATTGCCCTCATCTCAGGCCAAATCGTCATCAGGATCACTGCTTACAGCACCCCTGTACATACGCTTCCCATAGGTAGGGACATGCTGAGTTTCGTACATTTTACGATTCTCGAGATAACGTTTGTAGTTATTCTCTCGTTTTCGCCGCTGCTCTTCAGCCTGTTGCCTCAATTTTTCGGGATTCATGTGAGACGTCACCATATGTCTCGTCAGTGAACTCATGAATTTGTAAGTGATTCCACATACGTCGCAGGATAATATCTCCTGGTTTTGTCCTTGCTGTAATTTAAGAAATAATTATCTTGGATTAATTTCAATTTAATTCCACTCTCTCCGTTTCCACTACAACATAAATTTTTTCCACAAACAATTTGACTCTCTTTAAACATGAAAAATTAAATTAAATCTATTAATAAATAGAAAATCCACCTGATTTTTTTCGAATGATTCTCCTCTTGATGACTACAGAAAAACAAAAATGAAAAGAAAATGAATTAGAAACGTTTTCGATTATGAAATGGTTAATTAATTAATTATTAACCCATATGTACTCTATTACTACGTCAACGAAGTAGCCACAAAAAATATTGATTCGTGGACTTCAATAAAGATCACTTCTTTCTTTCTATTAAAATATTTTTCCGAGTGTTATCCCCAGAATTTGTCAATTGCATTATTGTTAATATGTGGACATACAGAATTATCAGGGCGATACTTGCCAGCGAAACTGGATTATGTTAACCAAGTAATTACATAAAAACAATTAAGAATTAAAAAAATTGAGGAGTTACTTGCCACAACCTATCACATCCTCAAATAATGGCAATGCCATAATTTATGAGAATCCAGTACACCCCATGGAGCCCAAAAAAACGGATAAATACTATTGAACTTACCACAGCTTTATCACGTACCTGTTGATGTACGAGCATGTGACGCTGTAGATTATTGAGACGATTGAATTCACGTCCACAGACTTCGCAATCAAACTTTTTATCAGGATCATGATTCTTCTTGTGCATCGACAGATCGGTGGCACTGATGAACGTCTTGTGACAAATGTCGCAGGTGTGTGTACGTTGCTCAGCAGCAAGATGGGACTGTTCGTGTTTTTGGAGTGTTGGCTTGTCGATAAATCTACGACCGCAGTAGATGCATGGTAGAGGTTTAGAGTCAGGATTGTGCTGATTCATGTGGCGACGGAGGGTATTGGCAGTTGGAAACTGCTCATGACACTCGAGACACTGGAATGGTCGATCTCCAGTGTGAGTTTTTCGGTGTTTAGCCAATGAATTTTGATCTGGAAAACGTTTGGGGCACAAATCGCAAGGGAAATTTCGCACTGTAATATCTTCCTCGCGTGCATGCTTCAGCCTGTTATGTCGCAACAGTTGAAATTGAGTTTTGAAACTCTTTTGACAAATTTCACATTTTAGCGCATCTGTCGTTGGAATTATTACTTGAGTCCTCTTTAGGCCATTTTCATCCTCAGAGATGATTAGGGAAATCGTCACAGTGTTGTCTTCATTATCTACGTCATTGTTCACGATAGCTGGAGATGGTGGCTGCTGGAGAACGGTGAAAGCATTTTTAAATACGATTCATAATAATTACAGTTAGAATTTTTCTTTAGAGTTAAAAATTGGGATTGAATACTGGAAATTGCAATGAGTCAAGAAGTAATCGATCTTGACCTATTCAAATTTATTTAAAAAAATCATTTGAAAATTCTTTGCAAGTACCAGAAGTACTTGATAAATTTCCTGAAAAAATAAATAATATAATACAACTATTTGTGTGCTCACCTGTCTATTAGAAATATTTTCCAACTGTTCAACGTTCTCATGAATGTCCTTGTTCCTTCCTTCCGCATTTTCTTGTTCATCGCTGCTATTACTTGCAATTGCATAATTACCATCCTCCGTCAAGTAAACCGGCTGCATTTGTCCATTCTCGTCCTTGAAGAATAACTGTCCATCTTCATCTTCATGCAAGAATATCTGATCCTGCGAAATTCAATATCGAAGAAGATCCTGAGTACTATAATTATTATTTAACGAAATAACCGAAGAATTTCATTGATTTGCTCATTACAAACACCTGTGGATTTTCTTCTTCTCCCTGTTCAGCCATAATAATCTCGTTAGAGCCATCCCACTGCTCAGGCTGCTCCAGGTGTTGTTCCTCGGGTTCGACAACGGGTTCCCCTTCCAATTCATATTGTTCACCCTCGTTCAAGGTATGAGCAACATATAATGTCCCCATATCATCGCCTTCATAATAAATTGTCCCTTCGACTGGAATGGTATCTTCCTCTAGTCTTTCCATCTATAAAAGTCAATAAACAATTAATTATCTGAACATATTGATCTAGTTTGGAGGACCACCAAAATCGTGGCTATTTAAAATCTAAAAAACTTCACGAACAATAAGCGAATAAATAGAAGAATAAATACAAATACCAAAGAAGCACAATGAATAAATGAAGCGTTGAATTTTACCTTGATATATCGAGCATTAGCAGCTCTTTCTTCCTGATTCTGTTTCTTGGACCCCAGAACAGTGTAAACCAAGTCATTGTCAACATTTTTTACGATTTCATGTGGATTATCTTCATCATCATGTCTAGGTATCGTCATTTCTCTCTCGTACTCTTCCGATGCTCTACCCTTCAAGCTCTCCAAACTCTGTCCTTGCCCATTTCCATTGGAAACTAATTGATTTCCGTTAACCGTTGCTCTCCTTGAAGCAACACTCGCCTTGGGTGCATCGTTAGTGTCCAGAGGATCATTCTCCTCCTCCCAATCTCCTTTAGTATCGTAGTTCCCAATTTTCTGTGATTTTCGTTTCTTCTCTGATCTTGGTACCTCCGTTTCTCCCTCCTGACTATCTTCTTGTGATTCTATCAAGTCTTCAACTTCAATCTCTTCGGCGGCGCTTTCAAGCTTCGAGGTATCGTCATCCCCTTTTTCATCACCATCTTCCCCTTCTACCATAACAATCTCTTCGATTATTTCAACAATCTCTTCAACCTGTTCGCTTTCCTCGTCCTCAGCGTAAATGATTTCCTCCTCTTCTTCCTGTTCCTCAATCACCCCATCCTTGGCCTCTAGAATCGCCTGCAACTCCTCCACCTCCATCTTGAATCACCAGAGCTTTCTAAAAAATATTAATAAATCCATTTACACCAGATTATTTATTGAAGCTGAAGAAAAATGTTGTTCCCCTGCTAATTGATCTGCATTATTAATTTTTATATCAATTTCTCTCAGATTCCCTCACTAATGAGTAAAATCGATAATCCTCACATGTCACAACCCTTTCCCTGTTTTTCAACACTCAATAAACACCAGAACATACCGAAAATCTCTCCATGAAGCTAAATAAACCATTTAATATAGCAACAACCATCACCGAGATAAAAATCGAAACTTTGCTCTTCATGACAAAAAAAACGGTCCAAAGTTCTCTCAACAAGCTTCAGGAGTACTGGAAGTGATGGGTAAAAACTTGCAGAGAGAAAAAATAAATTTACTTCAATTATTCCAAGAAATATGTCGAGTGAATTCCGGACAAATAAAATTGGTTATGGAGATCGTTGAAATTTACTGCAGCGACCAATAGGGCGCATGATGAACGTGTTAGTCTGTATTCGGGCTTGTTATGCCCCTGAGAGGATGAAGAATGATCGCGAACATCCTGGGGCCCACAAAATCCTTCTGATCTCCCATCGAAGCCTCAAACACCTGATCGATTAATTAACGAATGGAAAATAAACTGTTTACATTGGCAATTGAAATTGTTGACGAGAAGGCGGCTAACCAGTCGGTACGGGAAAGCCTTGCATTTATCAACGGACAGCAAAATGGCTACAAGGAACCGCCGTGCCCGTTCTTTATGGGAAATGGCTGTTTTCTACAGGCGATCAGATAATTAATTATCATATTGAGATATTTACTCACCTCTCTCTCTTTTACTCGATGAATATTCGGAGCGAATCAATGACGATTTAGGAGATTTTGAGGGAAACTTTTTACTCGGTCGATATGCAACCAGCGACCATTCATCTATCCAACGAAATGACGCCACCATAATTTGAGGAATGTTTATCGATGAAATGTTTAATCTCCCTCTGTCGTCAATTTGCTCTCGACCAATCGGCGAGGGGGAAGCCTAGGGAATTTTTTAAAGTGGTATCAGCTCTGAGCGGACGTACTTTTATATGTCAGTTATTCCTTTTTTATTTGAAGAAATTATGGGAGTCATGTTACGAAAAATATTTTATGGGGATTACATGTTATGAGTGTACGTGAAAAATATTGATTAATTTGGAGTTTATAATTTATGGATTTTTTAGGCTGGCTGTGACTCACTAGGGAATTATTTTCCAGCGCAAGATGGCGTATTTATTGGTCAAACTGATCTGCAAGTGCGGGAATAGTTTGAATAATGTAATAATTATGTCACGATACTTGTTTGAAAATTTTGAATTGTTCAATTTTAGTGAATATCTCCTCGATTGTCATGCGCCCCTGATACTTTTTCAAAAATTTTGAAATTTAAAATTTCCTAATTTCTGTGAAAAGATTCGACGGGGTGAATTGTATTTTCCGCGGTATGAATGCTCTTTGATTTTATTTGTTTAACTGAAATTTAGCCGACGGTAAAACGTGCGGAAGGGGGAAACCATATCTTGTGGAATTTCAATGAAAAAAATTATTCAATATGTTGCAGATATACCACTAATAAAATTATAATTTCAGAATGAGCGTGTTGTCTTCATGGTAACGTGCTTGCCTACCACGCCGACGGCCCGGGTTCGATCCCGCCGTCAATCATTTTTTTTTTTAAATAATTTCAATTTTATCTTTTTTTAATTGGTTAATCAATCTAAATATCGTTTAAACACTGAATTTTTGAAAAGCGGAAAGATATCCTGTGAAATTGA